AATCACTGGTCGGTGGAGAAGGAAGCGGACTTAATATTATTTTATCTGTACTTTTTTTTTTAAGAAAGTAGGGGATAAGATCCGTACACACACATAGCCCACCAGCGGATATGCAACCGGGTGTTTCGATGTCGATTTCGGGTGAAGGAATGAAAAAAAAAAAAAAAAAAAAAAAAACTCCCTTACCTCACTCACCTGGATCTCCGTCTGCCCTCGCTTTCATTCTCCTTCACCTTCAATTCTCTACCTTCAGACATCCAACGGCCCAGTCTCCCCCGAACGTCGCCATGCGTCGCTTCCACGTCCGGTCCTCGTCGGCGGCTCTCGCGATGCTGGCCTCCGCAAGGGCCTGTTCCCGGGACGCGTAAGCACACTGAAGCTCATGCAGGGCCTCCATGCCGTCCACGGCGCGGAAACGGCACCGCTCGCAGTGCCCAAAGGGGGGGTCGCTGAGGTCGGCGTCCTGGTCCTCAGCTCCGCCGACGAAGTGCTCGTCCCGGCCCTTGGCGGCGAGGTCCTGGGCGAAGATCGCGTCCAGCCAGCGGTCGACCCGGTCGCCGGTCTTCAGCGGCCGCGGGACACGGCTCACGCGGGAGCTCGAGAAGCGGCAGACGCCCGGGCGGCAGCTCGCGCACAGGAGCAGGAGCGGATCGATGCCCAGGCGCCCGTCGCTCGCCGACTGGTCTTCCCACGAGTCCTCCTCCTCGGACGCGGTGCCGGAGGACTGCGTGGATGCGTAAGAGGCTCCGCCGACGAACACGGGATGGGCCTGCTTGGCCGCGATCTGGGCGTAGATCGAGATCTGGGCGTTGACGCCGACCTCCCGGGCCCAGATGCCGGTCTTGTTCCTGGGGCCGGGCTTGCGTCGGCCTTCGATGTCGATGCAGCATTTGGCGCAGGCGGGGCCGATGGGGTAGGAGCAGTCCATGTCGTCGCAGAGCTGGGGGAGGTCGGCGAGGGTCGCTTTCGAGTCGAGGCTATGTGCGCTCTCGCTAGACCCCGAGTATTCGGATTCGGAAAACATGATTTGTCTGTGTGGTTGGGAATATATGCAGTGTTGAATGGTAAAATTCTTTTGGGATAGAGAATAGACGACACGATACTAGCATTTATACTAAATAGTGACTGTCTGTTCTTGAGACAACAGGTTTGTCTCTTTGTTATCTGACGATGATATCAGGCTTTGACTTTGAATTGTTGAACAATAGGTCTTTGTAGAGAGTCAAGTTGACAATGAAACCGCGCAAAGACAGTATTGACAATGCTCGCTTGAAGCCAGTAAGTAGCCTCTGAATTTCCCGACCGTGCCATGTTCAGATTAACCCGATGAATTGCGGATAGTCTAAATAGCCCAGGAAATCTTCCCATTGAGGAGAAAAGATCGATTCTCTACTTAGCCTGCATAGAAGAAAATATGGTAGGGCGGTCATGGCTTGGTCGGCCCAAGCTCAGAGAGATACTTCTCGTACCAATATCACCACCGCCGCCGCAGCTTCGCCACGACACAACAAACAATTTAGACACAAAAAAGAGAAATATCACGATGAGTGACCGGTATTCCCAGCAATGGAGAAGCAACAAGGTCTGAGGGCTGTACGTCAACTGCAGTCACATTGTTCTGCGAGGAAACCCTCGGACTTTCTCTCTCAAAATAGCAGGCTCGAGGTCAACCTGAGTGGATCTGAGATGCTATCTCCTGCGTGTAATGACTAGAAAGATTACCATAGATACTTCTTCACAAACTAGGTGCCTGCCATGCTGAGTACGAATACGACGTGGCACGACAACAGGAAGGGACACGAAGCGGGGACCGAAGGGGGCGAAAGAAAGCAAAAATTGGACCACGAAGCTTTGCGATTGGGATGTTGAATAGCCGAGAGATTACTGGAGGGCGTCAAGAATCAGAATGTAGAGCAAGTCTACCACCTGGTTTGCTAAAGCCACGTCCTCAGTGCAAAAGCTGAAAAGATCGTCAGAGTACTGGAGTGAGTTGGAAAAATATCAAGAAAATGAAAACAATGATAGTTATACAGATGAGATTTCAAAGATAGAAGAAATGAGCAACTGAACATTGGCTGAGCACTTCAGTACTCAATCCCGCTTCTTGCTGGCAATATTTGATATTTGTTTCAACATCAGTGCTTGTTTTTGATCTTCGTGCAAGTTCATTGAAAGCCACTTTCGGTGTACCGGGTTCGAGGTACGAAGTTGTCACTCACTGTCCTGCTCCTCTGCGGCTCTGCCTCTCTCTCGTCCAAAACTCGTCTTCACCGCTCAACAGCTGCAAGTACGGTAATGTGACGTGCTGTGCTGTGCTGTGCTGTGCTGTGCTATGCTATGCAGCTCCTCTCCTCATATAAATGCACGGCATTCCTCCACGCCCCGGCGCTTTAGTCCGTGATCAATGGATGATGCTTGGTTTGTGATCAGTTTGTGTTTATTATTTGTATTCCTGTCCGACCCTGCCTCGGCATTCTGCCATACTTATCGCGATGCCTCGTGTCCTGTCTGATTGGCGCGCACAGTTCGGTGATCTTCCTTCCCTTCCCTGCCCTTCTTCCCCGGTGACTCAATTCCCTCCTCAAGACAACTAACTAACTGATTATAACAAGGTAGTTCTGGTAAAGATACAAAAGCCCGTCCCCCCCTCGATTAAAAATCTGGCAAAGCATCCCGTCCATAGTCTCGCAAGCCCAAACCTCGTCGCACACGTCCCTTGTCCAACCACAAACCCAACCCTCCCACCGAACACCCACACGCGCTCAACTGTCTGGCACGTTCTACGCGCAAAACTCTTTTCTCTCTTCTCGTTCAGGAATCTTCCGACACTTCATCAAGCCTTTAAAAAAGCCGCTGTCCACCGAGACCGCAGCGAGGACTGTGTGGAGTTGAAGAAGATATCCTTTTTGCCACACTGCAATCCATGAGCCATCTCCTTTGGAAGCACTATCACAATGAGGATGTCGACAAGTTTCGGCACCTCCTTACGCAAGGTGGTCAAAATACCCCATTTTCCTCCAAGAGCTATGGAGGGTTGGCAAATACACAGAGCCTGGGAAGCTTGACTGGCAGTCCAGGTGGATTTGCGACATCTCCAAGAACCCTCACTAAAAATCGAAAGGCCTGTGGTCAACATGGAAACGCAAGCAGTACGAAGGGAGTGTGTGGAGGTCTTGGCAAAGTAGAGGTCAACTGCAGAGATCATGCAGGACTCACGATTCTACATCGCGCTGCATCCTCAAGCTCCGAGAACGCGAGAAGCTTTGCCTTAGCTCTCCTGGAGCATCCAGCCATCGATCTGTACGCACAAGACACGGAGAATGGATGGACCGCATTGCACAGAGCTTTGTACTTCGGTAACATCACTATTGCCCGAGCTATCATTGAGAAGGATTGCCAAGATCTGAAAAGTCAGGTTGGAAATGTCATACAGAGAGGAGCCAGCTCTGTGATCAAAGTCAAGGACTACGAGGGAAACAGCCCGTTTGACGTTTACAACGCTACAATCGCTAGGCGGTCACTCACGTACGGAAATGAGCATGATCTGTCTGACGATGACTCCGACGACGCAGAATCTACGCTAGCTGGATCTACCATGGAAGTAAGTCCACCCACACTCGACGGAGATGAAGTGTTTGCTTGGGGAAGCAGTCGCAACCATGGATTGGGATTCAAGGATCAGGACGATCGCCAGCACCCCGAAAAGATTATCCTGCATCGTCCTGACCACCTCCTCTTCCGGTTCTATCGGGAGTACGTGGAATCTTGTGAGTTCAAGCAAGAATCACTCAACAAACCGTCATCATTGCCAAAATCGGTTTCGGATCTCCCAACTCTGATTGTCAATCGTCCCATAATCATCCAGGATATGGCTCTTTCGAAGCTGCACAGTGCTATCTTGACAACTGACCCCGAATCAAACTTGTACATCTGTGGGTTTGGCCCCGGAGGAAGGCTCGGCACAGGCGACGAGACTACACGATTCTCCTATGTTCCGATAGAAGGAGGAGCTTTGGCTGGGAAGAAGGTATGCAAGATTGCTCTTGGGCAGAATCACTCGTTGGCTGTCACTTCGGACGGTAGTTTGGTTGGTTGGGGAACCAACACCCATGGTCAGCTAGGCTATACTTTGTCGCGACCAGCCTTGAAGGATGAGGAGCCGGTCTGGTCTTCACCTCGCCAGATCTTTGGGGCGTTAAAGAGAGAAGCTATTGTAGGGATCGCAGCTTCAGAAAAACATTCCGTTGCTCACACCAAAACCTCTCTCTTTACGTGGGGGAGGAATGAAGGGCAGCTAGGGCTCATACACTCTGACTCCCGTAGTCTTGAGGTTCAACCAACCCCTAGGAAGGTTGCAGCTTCACTATTCCAAGCTGCCATCAACATGGTGTCTGCGATCAATTCGGCAACGATCGTGCTACTGGCTAACCATACCGTGTGCGTCTTCACGAACTACGGATACAACATTGTCAAATTCCCTTTGCACGAAGGCTTCACCAACTACCACCTGAAAACCAATGCCATCACTACTCGATACGAGTCTGGGTCAAACCATATTTCCTATGTGACCGCTGGTGGTGATACTATCGGGGCTGTTTCGAGCAGAGGAGATCTGTTTACCGTTACGGTTCGCAGCATTGCTACCAACTCTGCGACGAGTACCACTAATCCGACGAAGATCAAAGACTCATTGTCGCAACCTGAACGAGTCTGGTCGTTGCGGAAAGGCCACTGGGATGGTATCAAATCTGTCGGGATCACTGAGAATGACTCGGTGATTGTTTGCACTCAAGCCGGTGCGGTGTGGCGTCGGATCAAGCGAGCCAGTATCAAGGATGCATTTACTGGGGCGGCAGGAAAATCTCACAAGAAGGACTATAAATTTCAACGCATACCAGGTCTGACTAATGCCGTCTCTGTCCGGAGCAATATGTTTGGAGTCTATGCAGTCATACGGAAAGACAATGACGTGACCAGGACTCAGGTTGTGGTAACCGAGCAGAGCCTATGGCATGATATTGCCCCAATGCTGAGCGTCCGTGGTTTGAAAGCTTCTGAAGTCCCCCAGGACGAAGAAGACACAGAGACGCCTCGATTTTGGGCACCGGCTCTTCCGAAGGACTTATTTGAGCCTCTTAAGGGTGCAATTCTGACATCGCCAGACCTCGAGGCAGATGTTGCTCGCCATTTGGCCGACCACCGCCTGAGTGATAGCTATGATATCGGAATTGGGACATCGAGTTCTGATGTCCGAGTTCCCGTTCATGGATTCATGATGTCTCGAAGTCCTGTATTCAGGAGACTGATGGCTGATTTCCGTCGGACCGGTATCGCATCAATCCCCGATGTTCTTACAGTTCAGCACAGCCCCCATTCCACTGGCTCCTTGTCCGTTGGCGCAAGCAATTGGAAAACGGAGGTCCTTTTTCAGGGCCTTGACTTTATTACTCTTATCAATCTCGCGGTGTATCTGTACACCGATTCCGTAGTCGATGTCTGGCACTTCACAAGACACTCTCCAAAGATGGCGTTCCGATACCGACAAGTGCGAGTGGAGCTCATGAAAGTTGCAATCCAACTCCAATTGACAAAGTTAGAATCTGCAGTTCGTTTGATGTCCGAACCCGACAGACGGATGGACACCGACATGAGGCTAGCTCTGCAAGATTCCGGCTTCTTCGATGATGGCGACATCATCGTGGAGCTTGACGGTTCTGAGAGGATTGTCCACAGCGCTTTGATGTGCCGTCGTTGCCCTTTTTTCGAGGGCTTGTTCAACGGTCGTGCTGGGGGTCAGTGGCTTGCTGGTAGACGGCAAAACAACTCGGACCTTGTTCGGATCGATCTAAAGCACGTTGAAGCGGAGACATTCGATGTAGTCCTTCGATACATTTACTCTGATGCCGGAACGGAAATCTTTGACGATGTCGTCTCTGACGACATCGATGAGTTTTCCGAGCTTGTGCTTGATGTTCTCGCTGTCAGCGATGAGTTGATGCTTGACCGATTGAGCCAGGTCTGTCAGCAAGTCCTCGGGCGTTTTGGTAAGTTTTTTTTTCTTCCTTTTTTTCCCCTTCTTTTCCTTTTTTCGCTCTATGCCCTCTCCGAGGTTTTCACACAAAAATTTTGAATATGGCAGCTCTCTGTTCTCAAATAATGTGATATTTCAAATGAAGCTCACTTTCACTAGTCAATGCGCGCAACGTTGGTATTCTACTCAACGCTATCGGCCCATGTGCCGTGACAGCTTTCAAAGATGCTGCTCTCGAATATATCTGCTTACAACTAGAGTCCATGCTCGAAAACCATCTGCTCAATGAGCTCGATGAGGACCTCCTACTAGACCTGAATGAGGTTGTCCGGGCGAATCAATTGAATTGTCTCCCATTTGCCAAAAGTGGTAGGGCTGAGCTGTTGCTACACGAACGCCATCCCAGTCTAGCCGAGGACATACGTGAAGAGCGACAGACAAGGCTCAAAGATATGATTTTTCGGATGAGCCACAAGGACGAAGACAGTCGATTGTCGTCCTCGTATCGAGCGCGATTGGGTAGCCTTGACGATTTTAATTCAGGGTCGCCTAGCCAGGACAAGCAGAGGCGAAAGTCAAAGACCTCGCGCAATGCACCTTTCAGCCCTAGTATCCGACCCAAGGACTCGACAATCGATCTGATGTTTGACATGGATGACGACGAAACATTGGTAATTGGGAGTCCTTCGCAAAAGTCGACGTTGGAGCGAACGCCGAAGGACGGAATAGAGTCTACGATCCGCAGAATTTCATGCGATGTAGTTGATCACAAATCCCCAACGAATGATGAGCCAGGGCCACACACATCCAGTTCGTCTTTCGTGGGTAGCCAAACACCAGAGAACAATTCATCTGGCAATAAAACATGGTCGTCTCCTGCACTGCCATCCTCTAGACTTGACATGCGAGAGATCATGGCACAAGCATCCTCCAGTCGCACTTCTGCCCTGTCCCAAAGTATCTCAGCACAGAAAGCCCAAGACGATGCGATTGGCAAGCAAACACGAGCCAGAACCTCACAAAAGGAGCGAAAGAAGCAACAACAGTCCATGCAACAGCACATGAGCCAAACCCAAATGCCTCCTGATAAGGGTGCCGGGAAACCGGCTTCTCCTTGGCAGGTCGCTGGTCTGGGACAGAAGACATCACTGAAAGATGTTCTAAGCGAATCGAAACCTCCATCTCCTGCTCCTGCTACGAGATCTATGGCCTCACCAGATTCCGAGGCCTTGTCACCTAGACGGACAGCGTCACCCGATACCCGCTTCGCCGGTCAGAGTCGAAGTAAGAGCAACAGCAGTGTCAAAAGAGGCGAAAGCACCGCCGGCAGCTCATCACGGCCGACCTCTGTCTCGAATCCCGCGAAATCCACTCTGGTTGTCCCGCACTCCAGATCTTACATGAGCCCTCCTGGTAAAGCCGAGCCTTCGCTCCAGCTCTCTCTGTCGGACATCATTGGACAGCAGCGCCGAGAGCAGGAGGTTATCAAAGAGGCGGTCGCGAAACGCAGCCTGCAGGAAATCCAGGAGGAGCAGGCGTTTCAGGAGTGGTGGGATCAGGAGAGTCGGAGGGCGCAGCAGGAGGAGGCAGCGAGGGCACAGAACGCGACGGCGAGGGGGGGTCCCGATGGCGGTGGTGGCGGTGCTGGCTGGAGGGCTCAGGGTGGGAGGGGCAGGGGGAGGACGGGGGGAGGGGGGAGAGGGAGGGGGCGGGGAGACGCTGCGCAGGGTGGAGGGGGACGGGGACGGGGGCGAGGTCAGGATAAAGCTGCGGAGGGTGGATAAGGAAAAGTGAAGGAGGAGATGGGGTGTACATTTGTGTATATATATATATATATATATATATATATATCGT